CCCTTCAGGACATTAGCTAAGCCATACAAGCCAGAGACAAAAGGACAAATGCTGTCCAATTGGATGAAGTACCAGGCAATAAAGTTCACAGAAATAGAAAATAGAATGATGGTTGCCGGGGCTAGGAGAGAGGACAATGTGGAGTTAGTGTTCAGCAGGTACAGAGTCTCAGTCGGGGAAGATGAAAAAGTTCTGGAGATGGATGGTGGTGATGGCTGTATCACCATGAGAATGTACTAATGTCACAGAACTGTGTTAAGTTAAAATGTGATATTTAAAGTCACGTATATTTTATGACAATGTAAAAAAAAAAGGAGTCTCTAGAAAACAGACACCTAAGTTGAAGAAGCACTGATCTAAAGGGGTCCAGGCTAGTTAGGGAGTATAGGCATATTTCTGAGCTGGTAAATATTCGATTTTAATCTGCAAAGATAGCTTAAAGTCAGGATGCCCTGGGGTCCCTCACACCACTGAAGATAAGAACACATTGGATTTGGCAGAGGCTGCTGCTGCTGGTGGCCCAATGAGGTTCCTATTCCTTCATGACTCAGGGCTCTGCAGTCCCGCCTCATGCCCAGCATCTGGGGTGATGGGGAGGGATTTTGCCAGACAGTGAGACACTGTTTATTGAGCTTTTTCTTATCCTAACTTTCTCCTATGCATGTAGATAAGACTGGTCTGGTGGAATCTAAGCATGTAAAAGACAGGGAGGAAATGAAAGGGCAGATTTCTCTCTCATCTCTACCCCAGCCCTTCTGGGGAGGCCTGAGACCAAAACCACAAAGCCAGCTATAGCCCAGAACCCACGCTACAGAGCACTGTGGGACGGGAAGCAGAGACGGGGACCCAGGAAACACGATAATTAAACAATACAATGAAAGCTTAAATTTCCAAGTTAATTCTCGGGCATCATTTATAAAAGTTAACAGGGCATATTTAATTTAGGAATTGGCTCACGTCCTTCTCCTTACAGCTGAAACCTCATAAATGAAATATACTGGATCATTGCCCAGTGCGGAAATAAAAGTTATGAATAATGTTTCTATCTCAATCATTGTCAGTGCTTTAATATTCCTAATTACTTTAAAAAGCTAGATATTCAATATAGAAAAACTTTTTTCTTTTTATCTCCACTTGTGAGATTAGTGCAATTTAATAAGAGTCACTCCGTCGTCTTTATTCAGTATAAAATGACATTTCATCCTTTTACTCTTCAGTATTATATGGGATGGAGGTTTACGACCAAGCATGCAGCCACTCCGTTTCCCCATATTGGTCCGTCTAACAGCTCAGAATTATCCACAATAGTTGATGTGTCTGCCCTCCAGGCAAATTGGCACCATCTCGCTTCTTTTGTGGAACAGAAAGAAATGAGTCCAGGCCTTAAAGAAATTTGGCTAGAAGATGATAAGTCTGCAAAAAAATGAAAAGTCCCCACCCTTACCCAAACACTATATTTGTCCTCTTCATGACTGTCATAAATCCCTTGGTAGCCACAAAGGGCAGGGCAGAGCCGACAGTAGGATGAAGAATCTTTATTACCCTTCCTGCCACTTCCAGGAATTTATCCTAAGAAGGAACTAGGACAAGTGGGTGAAAAGATAGATGCATAAGAAGAATCACTGCAGCCTTTTCACACAGGGACACAGGCTCTTATCCATAAGCCCATAATCTAAATATCTCTATAAAGTCCAAATTTTTAAAATTCAGTACCAAAATTCATTTAGAGGCAAAATCTGTGTGAAACTGATTTGAGATTATGTATTATCTTGATGTCACGAGATGTGATCAGTCATATGTCACTTCAGAAATATCATTTTTACCCAGGGTGTTGCCCAGACCTCGTGGGAGTAGATGTCTCAAATAATATAATCACTATATACTTTCTAAACTTTGAAAAATTCTAAATTCTGAAAACAACGGGCCTCAAGAATCTTGGATAAAGGATGGTGGGTCTGTAACAGTAAAGAATCAGAAATAACCTAAATGCCCATCAATAAGGAACTAGGTAAATACATTTGGGAATCTATAGAATAAAATTCTATAAGGTCATTAAAAATTCGAAGGGGGATTCATATTTATTGGCAAAGAAATGATATCTATCTCATCAAGATCTCTTTCAACCTTAGGCTGTATTAACAGAGGTTGAGCATCCAGAAGGAAGGAGAGGATAATAATTAAGGGCTCAGGATCAGGACCTAGGTGTTTGCTTGGGTGATAGTCTCAGCCTCAATATTTATGAGCTGTGTGTCTGTTGACCATTCTTTAAACCCTTTGTGCTTCATTTGTAAAATAATAATTCCTATACTATGAGAGTATTATGAGGATTAAATGAGTAGATAGGTAAATAAAGTGCCCTAGTCTGTAGTAAAATTCAATAAATAGTAGGTATCTTCATTATTATTTTTCATACTGGTCAGACCAAGCTTACAGTTGGATGATCAGATAAGGCATAATAATTAAGAGGCATAAAGCCCACAGACAACAGAAGGAAAACAGATGGGGAAGGTGATCTAGATGATATCATATGAGAAGCAAAGGAACTGGTAGAAGTTTGGAGAGGGAAATGGTTGCCATTGTCTAATACCTGAAGGGCTGACCCATGGAAGGGGGCTCTGGTTCCTTCTATGCAGCCTCGATGGCTCTTACAACTGCTCTGAGATGACTGTCCTCTATATGCACGGTCTCTGGCCTTCTCCAATGATAGGCATGGCAAGGAGGCCACGGTGATCCATCACCCTGCCTTGGCCTTTATCATGGGCAAGAACCAACCAGTAGTAGCTAGAAATAGATTTTCACTGGATAGAGGGAAAACTTCCCAACAGTGAGAATGTGCTTCCATAGGAGATAGTGAGTTCTTGTCACTGGAGGGATTCAAGCAGAGTTTGGAAAGCTTTTAGTGGAGCCATCTTTAAATTCAATGCCTGGAATGATATTCAAGGTGAGAATCTATAAATACCTTTAATTCGATGCTGCTGTCCCTCAAAACTGGGTTGGAACCCATCTTTTAGAACTTCCTATGGGCTCAGAAATACATACCTTTGAGTAGACCCAGGAGTGGTGGCTCTTCAACCCATAAGAGTAGACTTGATTGAGAGGAAACAGTATAGTGACTGAGTTGGACCTTAAATTAGACAGTCCAGTAGCAGGGCTATTTCCATATATGCTTGGTAAATTCACTCTGGGGGAAAGACTCACTCTATAAATTACTTAGTTCATCAAATGCCACTTTCATTCCATCTCTTCCACTGGACTGGAAACTCTGAGAAGACACAGACCACGTCTAGAAGACCCCAGGGCCTGCCCCCCTGCTCAGCAGTCCTGAGCACACTGTGAGCACTGAACACACTTATATGGATTGATGATTTATATGCACTCAGGGCCCCCATGACCCAGGCTGTATTTCAACCTCCAACAGGCTGCCCTCAGCATCAGAATCCAACAGCAGGGTTCACCTAACCAAGTTAGATATTTTCACATCAAAGATTCATGGCAAGCAAAGTTACACCAAACAAAACACAGATAAGGAGGGAAAAGCTTGGACATTTCATCCAACATGTTTTCTGTAGTCCAAGTCCACAGGAAGACTGGTTGAACACATCCCTCTGGCTCGCCTGTCTCTCAGGTTTGCTTTCTGTTATCTGGTCTTATGTCTCAGCCATGGGCAACTCAGAGCAGGGGAACAGGTGGAAGGAGGAGGCCACCATGGGCACTGGAGGTCTCCACACATCAGAGAGTCTTTTGGCTACCCCAACAGATCCTGGATTCCCTGAGCCAAGATAATCACCCTGGCTCAAAACCACATATTCAAACACCCTGCTTTGGTGAGTATGTTCTCATGTGCTGGGTACACAGGGTGGCTCCAGTCAAGGCCTTTGGGAAGAAGAACCATAACTAGATGTTTCCACCCCACCTGACAGAGTCGGGAAGGGCCAGAGTGCCACTTTGGACCAATGTGGACCCAACATTCTCCTCTTCATTTTTTGTGACCATCCCATCCCTGTTTCCTAAAATGAAACCCAAGCCCACATCAGTATGGGATAGGGAACAGAGAGGTGGCTCCCAAGATACATAAGCAATAGGGCATAGATCCCGTATGGATCGGTTTGGCTATGTTATCTACTCAAGTCACTGTACAAATACTCTTTGCCCCGAATCAAAGCAGGAGGAAATTTGGGCTTCAACATGAGTCAAGGTCTGTCTGAAAATCAAATAAAGACCATGACATGAACTGATCACTGACTGCATTAACGTGGGGATGGAAAGGGGGTCATCTGTGAATAGTTGGGGGAAATGAGCCAGAGGAGAAGGATTCATCTTCAACTGTGGTTTCTGGCAGAGAATATCCCCCATAGCTGTCAGGTATACTCTACACTCTTGGTGTCAGCCCACAGTAGAAACATTGCCCTGTGTCACTGCGGGTCACTGGGTCAGCCCCAAGAGCATCTGTCTCCACTCCATGCTCACCAGGAAGGCTCACCTGGAGAATGTGGACTGTCTACCCACAGAAATGTAGGAACACAGTGATCTGCCCCCATGAGTGTCCTGTTCTTCTACTTTTGGAGACATAGAGATACTCCAGTGGCCACCAGTCTCAACCCCTGAGCCTTTTCAGGCACCCACCAAACTGAGCCTTAGCACCAGCAAAACTGAGGGTCAGGCCTAGACCATGGCACCCTCCAGGGTCTGCACTCTTGGGTGTTGTGTCAATCTCACTGCTATTGAAAGATCATGTCTAGATGTGTTCCATCAAAGATCACAGTTGTCCAGAGGACCCCACAATTCCCTATTCATGTAACACACAACACTTCCACAGACCCCTACACCCCAGTACTATCACATATTGACAGCAACTGTGCCTCCTCCCTGACGCCCTTGGTGGCTCAGGCAGCCCATCCAGAGTCACTCTAGCCTGACATAAGAATTTAGCATGCACACAGCACAGTGCCCCCCAAGTCAGAAGCAGGGGGCCACCCAATCCCCAAAGACCCCAGACTTACCGCTGGAGCAGTCGGGCCCTCCCCAGCCAGGCTCACAGTGGCAGGTATCCGGGGAAACGCAGCGGCCGTGCACGCACTCCTCTGTACACAGGGCTGAGGGGTGTGGGGAGGGGGAGGAAGAACAAGAACACACAGTGAGAACCAGCCATCGTGTCAAGGAGCACATAATCCACTTTGCCACATTTCCCGGTCCCTGGGATGCTCAGAGCGCATCACGGGCTTGGGGGAGAAGTGAGCTACACCTGACCCGAGTCATTTAATTAACTCCAAAATGGCTCCAACAGGAGTGCACTTCAGCCCAGCCTGTTTCCTAAAATGAAATGCAAGCCCAAGACATGGTCTCCTTGGTGGCTTTTCGAGCATATTTCCTCCCAGGTTTAACACTGGAGACCTCTGCCAACTGCAACCCCAAAGTCCACACTCCTGTTCTCTTTCCCCCTCTGCACAGGAAATGACCTGTGGCCTCTCGTCCTTCGCTTCCCCAGTTTCTCTCTGCAGAGGCCTGGGACTGTGTCAGGCCATCTGACAAGATGAAGCTCCTCTCGCTTTCCCCCACCTTCCTGCCCTCCTCCCCAAATGTCCCTATTTTGGGGCTCTCAAATGTCAGCAAATCTGCAAAGTACACAAATGCTGAGGAAAAAAGCAACAGCTAATTATAAGAAAGTAATTAAGAGAGACATCCACGATGATGATAATTGTAATTAGAAAGTGCCTGGTAATTTCTTATCACGCAGTCAAATGCTACAGCCTCCTGAGGTGGGAAGCTCCCCGGCAAGCTAAGTTTCCCTCAACTGCTCCCGTGCCACGGCGGCTCATTGACAGCAGTTTGAGAAGGAAGATTATTCTTCTCTTCCTTTGACAGAATCCACATTTTCTCAAGGTCATCTCTGGCTCCTGAGAGATCTGCCCTACCATCTAATCTATCAGTGGAGGATTACAGAAAGCCCCCACTTGCTACCCCCACTGATTCTGAAAGCTCGGGAAATCAGCAGCCACCATCAACCCTGTCAATTTTTTTGAAGGATCTAGATGAAGCCTTTTTGCTGAAAGCAACTTTAGAGACTCCTCTCTGCCTAGTATTGGCCTGGGTTGGGGAGCAGGGGCCTCCCAATGGTGAGCTTTGAGGGGCTGCCACTGACCTCTCAACACTCACCCTGCTGCCACATCCACACCCATTGCCTGGCTTGAATGCCACAGGGAGGGCACTGTCAGGGTAGACAAGGCCCATTTTATGGTTGATGTGGTCTGCTGGCCCCTCCAAAGAGGCTGATCCTGAAGCTGCTGCTTCAGCTTTGCCCAGGGCCCAGGGCCCCAGGCAAGGCAGACCCCTGGAGAGCAATTTCAGATGCCCCATGGTTTGTGGTCTGGAGTCTGCCCAGCCACTGCAAGCCGGGGACCTGGTATGTCTGGAAAGCCTGGCACCTAAGTCTTTCTCAGGGCTACAGGTGGCTTTGGGGGAGGGTTCTGGTTTGTGCTAAAGATGCCCACAGTACCAGAGCCCTGCTCTTGATCTCTTGGAGCCCCTGGGAGAAGCTGACCCACCCCTTACTGGAGAAGCGAGCTGGGCCCTGACCCTGGGAACCAGCTCCACACAGAGCCACAACCAGCTGCTCACCTGGCAGCTAGCAAGACCCTGGCCACCTCTTGCTGCCCTGGTTCCCCCTGTTCCCAGTGGACTTTCCAAACAAGCTCCAATGGGTCAATGTCCCCATGATACACTGGACACCAGGTGTGCATCCGCTGGGCTCCCATCAGAAGCCAGCCCTGTCTTCAACAGCTCCCCCATCCCCACCCCAGGCTAAGGTCCCAGCACACTCCTCAGCGGGACGCCCCCATCTGTGTTACAGCTTGTCAGATTAGCTCACTGACATCTTCACTGCTTTCTGACTGCAGAGAGCAAGACCTTTGGGGTCACTGCTGAGGACAGCAAGAGCGGGCAGTGAATTGTGACCCTGCCCCGTATGAGGGCTCAAAGAGACCTCAGAGAAAATGATTTTGTATGTGGAGAAGCTGAGGCCCAAGTGTATGTGACCTTACATAGAGAGAGCAGCCAGGAAGGAAGGAGCTTGGGGATGAGGCTGCTGGGGACAGAGGCCTCTGCAGGGGGAGGGGCCAAGAGGGCCCAGGGCTGCATGTGCTTTCCTGCCCATGCAGCTCAGGGGCTGCGGGAGCCAGTCCAGAGGGAGCAGCACAGGGGTGAGCCAGCGATGGCTGGAGACAGAGGCCACAGGAGCTGCTTCAACACACTGAGCACCACGCAGGGTGGGACGAGGTAGGAGGATTGATGAGCTTGAGGGAGGAGGGAGGGGAATCTGAGAAGGAGGACCACCAGTGACCTACCCACCCACCTCTCTCTCTGACCTTGGAGACCGGGATCACTGGCCCTCCTGCACCCTGTCCCTAGCTGGGAGGCAATGGCCTTCGGGAGCTCTAAGCAAGCATCACACTTTTCCCTTGGTCCCTCCCCAAAGTCCCAGTGACCCCTAGGATAGTCTATAGAGTACCTTCCCCCAGAATGCAGACACAGACCCCAGTTTAGCCCTGTATCCAGTGCCCTGGCCCCTGGTGACACTATGCTTGGAGGACAATCATCACACAATCCCTCGGCTTGACTCCAGGGATGCAGGTGGCATCCCTGTGTTCCCTCCAGACTTCATTGTCCCCTCCCCCACCCCCTTGCCTGGTGTTGTGCCTGCACTATTTACTTGTCAAAACCTCAATCCATTCATATTTCATAGGTATTGTTTAGACAGTGTTGTTTGAAGCATGAAATATTGATAGCAAATACCCGAGGCTCACATTGCCATATTTGGCAACTGGGCCACTGCGTGTCTGAGCCCCTGGTGGGGAGGGGCCAAGGGTGCTTCAGGGAGAGTCTCCTGGGCAGGGTGGAGGTGACACCTGTGACAGCCCTGACCTCCCTGGGGCTAAGGTGGCTGACTCCTTCCCCAGGACTGGTGGAGACCAGCAGTGGACAGCCCCTCTGCAGGAGCCTGCAGTCACCTGGCAGCTGCTCCTAGAGGATGCAGTCCCCTCAGCTCTTTTTGACCCCAGACTCCACACAAGCTGACCACCTGGGAGAAGCCAGGTCAGGGTGCTGTCACCCTGGCCTCCTTCTCTGACACCTATGACTCTGCACAGGTGCTTGGTTAAGCCCCTCTGGCACTGCTGCTATAGTGGAAAGAAGTCCTAGGTGGACACAGACAGCACCAGCCGTGTGACAGGGCCAGTCACTCCCCTCTCCCAACCCTACGGAGAAGAAGAAGCATGCATTGTGTTCTCCCAGCTTCCCCCTCCTACTACCCTGCCTCTGCCCTGCTTCTAACATCCCAGCCCACTGAGAGCACTTCAGCAAGCAGCAGGACTCATGAGGGCTGAGGGCAGGCCCTACCCAGAACACAGGTGACGCCCCTTTATGCTCTGGGCCTGGCTGAGTTACCTCTATCTCTGGGTCACCCCCACCTGTTCAGAGGGGACGGGGACAAGATGGGCTTCACACTCTGCCTGAGGAAAGGAAGCACATAAAGTGCTCTGCGAACCCTGCTATTGTCACTAGGGCCTCCTCAGACCAGAGGGCAGGGTCCTCGCAATGCTCAAGTCTCTTTCATCCTCCACACACCTGCCATCTCCCTCACTCCCTCCCACTCTCCTCAGGCGTCCTGGATGTCAGTGGTCTGTGGGGATCTGATAGACTCCTGGCTGAGGAGAGCAGCCCCATCTCCAGCTCTGGTGGGAGAGCACAGGGTGGTAGATGATGTGATGACCTAAGTTTAAATTCTGGATCTGCCAGTTACAATGACAATTACAGGACAATAAGCAAGTTGGCCTCCTATGCCTCACTTTCTCCATCTGTAAACAGGGATAATAATAATACCTACTCCATGAGGTGTTGCAAAAACGAAATTAAATGAAACATACAAGTTCTTTAGATCAGTGATCAGTGCCCGGTACATAGTAAGTACTCAGTAAGCTTGAGCTACTGTTAACACTTCTCTCTCTCTCTCATACACACACACTCATGGGCTATGGAATCTTGACTCAGTATCTAAGACAGCTGACAGTTGCTACCATTTATTCCCTCTTCCTGTGCACTACCGTTTTCTGAGCCCCTACTAAGTGTCAGGCTTTGGGGCTGTCCCAGGCTGTCCTAGTATGCTTTGAGGGAGTTAGCTATGTCAGCGCTTATCCCTCTTTTGAGGATCTGTATTCCCCGGGGGACAGATGCCACTTCCCACTTACCATTTTTAAGCCCTTATGCTGCCTGGCACACAGCAGGTGCTCAGTATTTGTGGGTCCCATACTTACCTGCCCCAGAAGAGAGCACCACAGCACATGACAGGAGGGCTTCCCTGAGCTCAGAGCTCAGTCACAGAGATGTCACCAAGTCTCTGGACCTGTCCCTGGGCTCAGGCTGTTTCTGGCCCTGTGGGACCAGGTAACTGGGGGTCTTGAGGATGGTGGGGGGTGCAGAGAAAACCTAGCTGTGGATGGAGAAGGCCTGGATTTGAGTCTACTGGCATCTGTCTCCTGCTCTCAATAACTCACTTTCCTCTCTGAGTGGAGGTCCCTGAGACTTTACCTATAAATCAACATTATATATAGATCTATATATAGATCTCTGGATGAGATCTAAAGCTACATGCAGCTAAGAATCACCCCAATCTGTCCTCTTGCCCACCCGCTCCAGGATGTACCTGAGTTGCTACCATTGTTCTGGGCCCCAAGCCCCAGGCCTTTTCTTTCCTCTTGACATCACAGGACGCCCAGGTTTCTTTCCTCCATTCCTCTGGAAACAGCACTAGATTCAGAGCCAGGAGACGCGAGCAGGTGCTCAGGTTCTGACTACTCAAATCATAGGTCTGGGCGAGGGGCTTCCCTCTCTGGGCTACAATCTCTTGTAAAACGAGGGTATCAGAAAGTGTCATCCTGCAGGGCTTTTCTACTGCTGACATCTGTGGATGTTTCTCTGCTGACCTTGGGCTGCTCTGGCTCCACTATACCAACCTGAGAAGCCAGAGCTTGAAATACTTTCACTGAGCTCCCCAGCCCTGGGTCACCTGGTCACCAATGCCAAGCACAGCTTCTGTCACCCA